TGGGGGCCCCGCCGGCTCGGAGCTCGGCTCCTCTGCTGGACCGGGCATCTGTCTCCCTCGGGTGCCAGGTCTCGCCCCTGTCGGGCCCTCTCACTACCCCAGAGTTCACCCGCCAGGGTCATCCGGGAGGGATGCCCCGTCAGGCACCTGCCCAACTTGGGGGGAAGTTATTTGGGCATTTATTAGTCCGGTTTGGTTTTGATTACAGGCAGTCCTCGAACTGGCAACACAACCACAACCGCATCTTAAGTCGAAAGGTCGTCACCGATTTTCCCATAGGCACAACGTTATAAATGGGGGTTTGGTTCCTGAACCAAGGCACGGTACCCTATTTTCACCAAGAATAACCCAGAATTTTGTGCTCAATCAATTATAGATGAGTCAGATAGCTGCATTAGTGTATTTATATTGTAAATAGCAATCATATTGATTTGGAAGGATTTTTTTGAGGTGACTGCTGGACTTTTTGAAGGGCTCTTGGTTGGAGTCTTCTCAGGAGTCTTGACTGCAGGTTTTTCTGGAGTCTTGTCTGCTTTTGTAAAGAAAGTGTCCAAGAAAGTTTGGACAGATGTTCTCCAGGGAGATGAGCGATGCAGCAAACTTGTTCATTGGCGTTGTGTCGGATTAAGTGTCCTGAAGTCGAAACTCATGTCAGAAAGTCGAAACAGGATGTCACTTTTATAAAGGTCGTAAGTGCCGTTCGTTGTAACTCAAAATGTCTTAAGTCAAGGACTGCCTGTCTTCTCTTGGCCGCAGTGCTAGGAGACGGGGGCTGTCTGTCGCACAGGTATTTTGCTACGTGAACAGGTTTCGTGTGTGCTTCTATTACAACCACAGGTGGAATCCTCTATGGGTGCCCGTATTGGGATGTGCTATTTGTAAAGGATGTGAAGCAGGAGCTGTGTCCCAGAGCCAGCCTATGGAGAGGGACCGTGTCTGTGGGCGGGGTGAGGTGAGGGTGGGTATTGTGACATAGCAGGAAAGTGTCAGATTTGTAATCTTTTGGGATTAGGGAAGCAGAAGGCAGGGGAAACCATGCTAAAAAGACATGGAGAAGGTGCAGGAGTCAAAGCATCCCCTTGCTGTCCTAGAGCCTGGAGAGAAGATCTTAAAGGACTTCCAGGTCCTGGTGGAAAAGGTTGGAGGGAAGCCTGATGTGCTGCTGATTGGAGAGGCACTGACAGGGGATGATACACGGGCTCTGATGAAGGCTTTTGTCCAGGAACTGTTCCCAGACTCTCTCAAACCAAGCAACAGCCTGGACATGGCTGTGACTCAGACACTGCCAGGGATTGAGCCTGGTTCCAGCAAGAGCCAATCCCAACTCGTTTTTTTCCTATGCCGAGCTTCTTGCCTACAGAATAAGCAGTCTGAGATCCAGGAGGTCTTGAAGGAAGTAAAGAAGTATACTTGCAAAGCCCCGGCTGCCTTGGTGGGAATTGTCATGCAGCCCAAAAAGAATGAGGCGGCCCAAGCCCGGAAGCTAATGGAGACCCTGCTCCGGGGAGTCTTCCCTAGGCAGCCACATAACAGAAGGAGGCAGAGTAGCAAGCAGGGCCAGGAGAAGGAAATAGAGCTGGAGGAAGTGCAGGTGGAAGTAGAGATCTTCGTTCCAGGGCAGCCACGGGGGAAACTAGCCATAATGAAAGCTGCCTGCCGAGCTGCTGAGGCTCTGAAGCAGACAGGATCTGCAGGTGTGAAGCAGGATGGTCGGGAAGAGGGGAATCTGAGAAAAAGGATCTGGGAGCATAGAGGGAAGTGCATGGTAGATTAGGGAAACACTGGGCTGACAAAAGCTAGTTACTGAGGTCATTACTGTTTTATTTCTATTGGACATTGTTTTTGCATTATTTTTGTATAGATGGGGGATTCTCTATGTTAATGGATAAACAAGGGTAATTTGAGATTTAGTTTCATCTGCAAAACTGTTACACATCAGCTAATTATCCTGTGTGGGGCTAGCTGCTCTTAGTACTCCAGTGTGGGGTCTCTAGGGCATCCATCTTCTCATCTCAGTGTTGGGCCTCTGAGAGACAAGATGTCTGTGATGGGAGTCCTATTCTTCACCTTTGGAAAACATTCCACATCTTGCCATTACCAGGCCAGAAATATGAATCTGGCAAAGAACTCCATGCTTTAAAAGACATTGAGCTGTCCTTTTGATATTTAGAAGGGACTGGAAGTTGTCTGTTTCTTAGCTCGTTGTCCTGAAAGCTCCTGTTCAGGTAGCTTTCATACCTTCCTCCATTGCAATATGGGATGGTCTTGGAAATGGCGGTCTGAACAGACCCCTGGTTCATGTGCCCCTGCTGCGTTATTGCCAGAATTTGTTCCTGAACAGCTCTTAGCATCACACTGTTGAGTGACTAGAAAGGGGAGGGGGGCTCTTGAGTCTTTTCTTACAAAAGTGATGCTTACCTGCAGGTTCCTGTCTGAGACATTGGTCATGACATGCGTGGGGTCTGAAATAGTTACACTAGGAATGGGTGTGGGAGAGGGCAAGTTATAAGACCATCTTCAGTGGCAGTAGAAGAAAGCCGCATGATCCAGAGTACCTGTAATCTCAAAGTTGCCTCATGCCTTGCAACTGCAGAACCAGCAGCATTTACTAAGCATGTGTAAGGCTCCCTTTTTCCTCTGCTCAGGATGCTGCTATAGCTTGAGTGGGAGGAGCTTTTATTTAGGCATGCAGGAAATTGGCAGCCATGTAGGCAGTGCAACAAAGGTCAATGAAGCCTTTAGTAATGACAGATCTGGATGCTGCCATGTCCTTTAGGAAGGATGTAAAAATCACTAACATTTCTCAGGGGCATGGTGTGAGCCAAGTACACTTTGAAAGCATACTCATGCCAAAGGACTTACTGTCTCCTCCTCAGTTTGAAGCCAAGGACAGTAGCTGGGAAGAAAACATTTGATTAAAGTGGGAACTGGAAAGTGTATTGGGGAAAGAAATGTGCTCAGCCCTGATAGAAAATAAAGTTGGACAGGAAACAGAAACAAACCTATCTATGTTAAGACCTCCAGCAATATCACCTTGCAGATTTCATGGGTGGACAGCTGTCATCAGGGTTTCAGAGGGGGTGAGGTTAAACCATGTTGAAGCTCTAGTAGGGGAATAAGAAATCTAACCATGAGCCTGAGGGCACTTTCCTAACGGACAAAGAAATAAGGGGATGAATTTTTAGATGAGTCTATTTACAGATCTCCTGAGACACCCTGCAGTTGCCACTTGTACTCTGAAGAATGAAAGAGATGAGCATTTACAATAGCCACAAAGAAGAATGGCAGACACGGGATTTTTAGCCTTAATCTTCCTATCTCTGTCAGGAAGTGAAATCTTCTCACGAACTTGGGGCTTGTGGTGCCTGATTTCTTGGGGCACCTATACATGAACAGAAAGTCTGCCCCAACATGCTGTAATTACATAAGGGCCCTGAGGCAGCTAATGAAGATTTCCAGACAGCCCTGTTTAGGGATGGCCTGCTTGTTTCACATGAGGGTGGCCCTAGAAAAGGTGGGAAAAACAAGCCTTGCCTCACTACTTACATCCTGGCTCAACTGAGTTATAAACAGATTGCTTGCTGGAATATACAGACTTTAACCCTTGGATATAACTTTGATCTGGATTCAGATCTGAGGAAAACAATTGTGTTGAGTAATGAGTCTCAGAATTGATATTGCAGCTCTTTTGGAAACTCAGCTCTCAGATACAGGCTTCATAAAAGACAAGGACTACACCATTTACTGGCATGGCAAACCTGAAGGAGTAAGGAGAGAGTATGGTGTAAGTTTTGCTATCAGAAATGAACTTAGGTCATCGTGTGAAGCTCTGATTGCAGTGTCCACACATACCATGACTCTTCAAGTTACACTACATAAGGGATTCATCAACCTTGTCAGTGTCTATGCTCTAACTGCGGGCTATCGATGAGAAGGACGGCTTCTGTCAACATCTGGAAGAACTTATTGGCAGGATTCCACAGAAGGAATCCATCCTAGTACTTGGAGATTTCAATGCAAGAGTTGGGGCCAATGTTGAGATCTGGCCTGGGATTCTGGGTAGGCATGGCATTGGACATGTGAATAATGGTCAGAGAATTCTTGAGCTCTGCCAGTCAAGGCAGAGTGACAGACACCTTTTTTGCTGGTAACATCAGAAGAAGAACGTCATGGAGACACCCGAGGTCCAAGCACTGGCATCATCTAGACTTGGTACTGACAAAATGTACACACTTGAAAGATATCCTGCATACACAATCCTTTCAACATGCAGACTGTGACACACACCACTCCTTTGTCTGCTGCAAAATGAAATTTCAAGCATAAGAAGCTTCACCGCAATAAACCTGCTAGACAACCTTGTATTGACTTGTACCAAATCAATGCTCCTGTGAAGAAACAGCTTTTCAATGAAGAAGTAGCAAAGTCAGCTGGAACCACTGAAATTGCATCAGATGCATGGGAAGTCCTGAAGACGAGTATGTACAATATGGCAATCAAGAGTTTTGGAAAGAGTACGAAGAAAAACATTGACTGGTTTGTAGACCATTCAGAGGTACTGCTACCACTTGAGAGAAAAATAATTGCTCTAATCACCTACAAGTCTTCTACTTCTACTACTGATTCACTCAACAACTTAAAAGAAACTCATGAGGCTGATCAGACAGCTTCCTGGAGGTGTGCTTGAGAATTTTGGCTGGGTCTCCGCAACAGCATCCAGCAGGCGGCTGACGCAGGCAATAGTAGATGGTTGTATGAGGGTACCAGAATGGCCATTGGGCTGACAAAATACAAGACGGCTCTGTTGAAAGACCTGGATGGTAATATCATAACTGATAAGGGGAAGCGACTGGAGAGGTCGATTGAGCACTATGGAATGATATATACAAAGGAATATGCAGTAGACCAACAAGTGCTAGATGAATTGCCTGGGCTTGAAGTTATGGCTTTGCTGGATGCCAAGCCTACACTAAATGAACATGAACAATGCATCAAAAAGATTCCTTATAACAAAGCTTGAGGATCTGATGCTTTACTGGATGAAATTTACAAATGTGCAAACAAAGACCTGCTGCAAAGATTGCATGAGGTACTGCTACTTTGTTGGAAGGAAGAAACTTCTGCAAGCTTTCAAGGACATTCATTTCATTCAACTATAAAAACAAAGGAAATAGAAGTGACTGTAATAACCACAGTGCATCTTTTCTCAACATTGCGGGAAAAATTGTAAGCCGTATTCTTTACCTAGACTTCAAACATTAGCTGAGAGAATCTATCCTGAGAGAGCCAGTGTGGCTTCCACTCAGAAAGGTCCACCGTAGATATGGTCTTCTTTGTAAGTGCAGAAAAAGTGTTGAGAGAAACATCCCACTGTACATGGCTTTTATAGATTTAACAAAAGCCCTTGACCTGGTTAGTTGGTCAGGGCTTTACATTTGTTCTGAAGAGGCTTGGTTGTCCACCTATATTGCTAAACCTTGTGAAATCCTTATGAGATGGTTTTCATACATTACAGTTGCCTTCATACCAAGAGTCTGACTCCTTCAACATCAACAACTTAGCGAAGCAGGACTGCGTACTAGCTCCCACATTGTTTAACTTCTCGTTCCTGCTTCAACATACATTCCATTATGTTTGAGAGGGTGTCTGTCTCAGCACGAGACATGATGGAGAACTGTTTAACATTGAGATGGTGAAGGAGATCATCCTAAAGGACCTGTTGTTTGCAACGATGCAGCCCGTGTAGCGCACGCTGTTGATGCCCTACAACAGCTCATTACCATGTTCTCTGACTCATGCAAAATCTTTGGGCTAGCAATAAGCTTGAAGAAGGCTGTTATCATGCACCAAGGCTCTTCAGAACCAGTTCCAGACATCACACTAGATGTTACTTATCTGGATGTTTTTGACCAATTTTTCTACCTTGGCTCTATTGTTACCAGCAGTGTAGATCCTAATGCTGAGCTTGCTATCTGAATTGACAAAGCAGCCAGGAACTTTGGCCTTTTGCAAGACAGAGCCTGGAACAATAACAGTCAACTGAAGTGAAAATCCATATTTATGAGATGTGTTTTATCCGCTCTATATAGCTCAGAAACATGGGCGACCTATGCCAAACTCAGATGCCTGCGTAAAATTCTGTGAATAAGATGGCAAGACAGGGTGACATGTGGAAGTGTTAAATATGCTGGTATGTCATTCATGGGAACATTGATTAGTAAGAAAAGACTCAGGTAACTTGCTCATGTCAAGCGAATGCCAGATCACAGGATCCCAAAGAATGTGCTGTTCTCTGAAACTCGTGAAGGGTCTACAAGAGAGGCAGACCACTGTGCAAATTTCAGGATGCTTGCAAGGATGACTTAGCATCCATTGGAATCTCTGTGCATGATTGGGAAAGGATTGCAAGTGCTACTCTGGTCGGCAGAGTTAACTTTTAGATGGAACAAGGCACTGTGAAGTGGACTGGATCAAGTTTCGTGATGACCAGTGTCGGAAGAAAGAATCTGCTGCTTGGATTCAGGGCATTGCTAGTGCATGGGTGTGCCCTACCTGTGGGTGGGACTGTCACTTGCGCATCAGACTCAGCAGCCAGAGAACTCATCAGCGCGCACACCGTGCTCTGCAATGAACAATGGTGCCAATTGACAAGGTCTTACCACTGTATCCAGGTCCAGAGGAGGCTCCTGTAAGGGCAAGCTGCAGAAGAGGGGAAAATTTAAACTACAGAAATGAATTGTTGGATCCTTTCCATCTGTGTAAAGATGAGATCTTGGAGGATGCTATTTCTGCTTAGGAGAACTGGTGGTATCTTTGCAATAAACCCAACTTTTACTTCTCGCTTTGGCAAGGTCCACCTGGAAAAACTGACCCATATGAGCTTTCCATCTTCAGGGAAAGGGTTGTGACACCCATCACTTTCATATTGTGTACCACCAGACCAAACAGGAAAGAGCAAGAGGTGCAGGGTAAATCTTAAGAAATATGTAAATAGGCTTCCTTTAATTGTCCAAGCCAAGTGGTCACTCAAGCTGGTTGCTGCTAGAAGCGATACCAGATTCTAAGCTATGCATTAGCACGTTTCAGATAAATGGAAGTAGATAAGGAAGTTGAAAAGTTATACTTAGTATATTTGCAGCCCACTGGCTACTTGGCCCTTGAGGATCACCTTGAACGTGCTCCTGTATGCAGCTGCTGTCCTTGCACAC